TCACTGCAACCTCTGCCTCCCGGATTCAAGCGATTCTCCTGCCTTAGGCCCCCGAGTAGCTGGGGTTACAGGCATGTGCCACCATAGCCTGCTAATATATGCATTTTTAGTAGAGACGGGGTTTCTCCAAGACCTTAATTTTTTTTTTTTAATATGGAACGCTTCACGAATTTCCGTGTCATCCTTGCGCAGGGGTCATGCTAATCTTCTCTGTATCGTTCCAATTTTAGTATATATGCTGCCAAAGCGAGCACCCAAGACCGTAATTTTAGTAGAGACGGTCTTGAACTCCCGACCTCAGGTGATCCGCCCACCTCGGCCTCCCAAAGTGCTGGGATTACAGGCGTGAGCCACTATTCAGACTATTACATAAAATTACCTACAGGCTATGTGCTTAAGGTGTGTGTACATGAAACAAAACAATTTCGTGTCCAGACTTGGGTCCCATCTCCCAAGACAGCTCACGTATATGTAAATACTAGAAATCTGAAAAAACCCGAAACCCTTCTGGTCCCCAGCATTTCGGATAAGGGATACGGAACTTCTACTGTACAAAATGCAACTCGAAGGCACAAGCTCAGGGTACAGCCCGGGCTCTGAATGCCAACACGGTTAGTCAGATTGTGGCTGCCGCCGTGCGGCGAGAAAGGGGACAACCGCTCAGGGGTCCAGAGATCCGGCGCCCTCTCCCGACCCAACCTACCGCCTGCCGGCGTCTGACCCACCTTCCCCGTCGCAGCTGAAGCCATAGGCTTTGATAACCTCCTGCTGGATCTGCGTGGCCACTGGCAGCACGAATTGCAGCATCTTACCCATGTCGTTGCATGCGTTATCCCGAGCCTCGTCCATACGCACTGCATTCTCCGGGGCGGAGAACGCCTGGATCACCTCCGCCAGGACCACTGCGCGCCAGAAGCATCCCAGGGAGGCGTCCCGGGTATGCATGGGAGCACGGGCAGCGGGCCCAGCGGAGAACGCAGGGAATTAGTGGATTGAGGCTGTAGGTAACCCAGTAAGATCCCGAGTTGGGGGCAAGTGCCCCGCTTAGAAGAGAGGGACGGTACCCGGCATCCCCTACCCCGTTTCCCCGGCGAACACGGCCAGGTTTGTCGCCCCACATCCTCCCCCCGGCTTCCTCCCGGGACCGGGAGCCCACGCCTTCACTAGGCTGTTCCTCACCCTTCGCCTGCTCAGCGCTCAGAGCCGCAGGCGGGGCCGAGGCGGACGCCATAGGGCGGCAGAAGCTGCAAGCGCAGCGGAAGTAATGGAAGGCTCAGGAAGAAGGAGCCACGTCCTAGCACAGTCCCCAAGGCGAGTGAGAGCGGAAAGGAAGCAGCATCAGGCGCAGCCGGAAGCCTCAAGGCGGCCCGAACCTCCGCACTCAAAAATTACAAGCAGCTTTTGGGCCGGGAAGACCACGCACTACAGATAGAAACACAGTGGCAATTCCGCCCACACAACACTCTCTATTGTTAAGAACGACCCGCGTGAAAGGGGCTTTCCGGCGAAAACCGGAAAGCCTGCTAGACAAATTCTAAAAGAGCTGTAACACTGCTAGGCATGCGCCTGGAGAGAAGGTGGGCTGTGCATGAACTCCACGAACGGTGAGGGTGAGCTCAGGTGCCGCTTTTCTTGTTCCTGTTACTGTATAAACGACGATGCATGTTGTAACTTTCAGTAGGAAAAAGTAATATTTTAAGGAACTTACTTAAATCATTCTAGATTCCCGAACATTCGCTATCCGCCTATGCAAATGAAGTCGATGCTGATTGGTTGAGAAAAGAGGCAGTCACAGCCCCTTCGTTGTTAAAGCCTGAGAGCTGGATTCGGCTGTAAAAGCCCAGAGCAGAAGGCGTTCTCGCGCTTTCCCAAAATGGCCTTGCCTACTGATGGGCGACGGAGTGTAACGCCCGGCCTGATTTCCCTTTCCTTCCAGGCTTTTGAGATTATCACCCACTCCCCTCTCAAACTGTAGGGTGGTTAAGGCTGCCAGGGACTAATCGCCTGGACCTATTAAAACCAGCCACCCCACCCCCGCTTCACAGCCGTTTCGTAAAGCATTCCACGGAAAGGATTCAGGACTCAAGCCTTTGTTCCAGAGGAGTCCGGTGGCTCCTAGCAGTAAGACCCGTAACGGGAACGTCTGAATAGATTCCTACACCTGACCACGTCAGAGGTGGGCCTGTCTCCGGCCTCCAGGGTTTGGCTGGTTGGGGTTTCTTTTGTTTTGAGATAGGGCCTTGCTCTGTCGCCCAGGCTGGAGTACAGTGGCGCGATCATGAGTCACTGCAGCCCCGACCCGCAGGTGATGCTCCCACCTCAGCCTCCCCAGTAGCTGGGACCACGTGTGCGCCACAACGCCTGGCGGACTTGTTTTTTTTAAGATGGGGTTTCTCTATGTTGCCCAAACTGTTTTCCAACTCCTGGGCTCAAGCAATCCACCCGCCTCGGCCTCCCAGCGTGCTGGGATTACAGGCATGAGCCAGAGTCCCGGATAAGGCCTCCAGTATCTGGACTTCCCAGCCTTGGGGCAGGAGGCAGCACGAGCACCCGTGGCGTACCACTTCCAGCTGAGTCAAGGCTCTGGGCTCTTCAAGGATCCCCTCTCCAATTCTTTCCGGCCCCCACACCAAGTTCCCTAAGGAGGTCTGGTCCCTTCCCAATTCCCTGCCAGATCCTGGCTACACAGTTCTCTTTAGGAACCGCTGCACTGAATTCCAGCCTCACCCCCACGTCCCGCAAAGAACCAGTCACAGCCATCTTCCTGGGGAGTTGTGAGGATATTTTGTTTGGTTGGTTTTGGTTGGGATGTTTTTTTAAGAGCGTCATATAGATATTTATATATATAAATTATTAATGTGGGGAAAGGGCAAGGGGCATACATTGCAGAGGGGGCGCGCACACAGGGACTGGGGAGGGGCACGGGTGGCACACGATGCTACGCAAAACAGCCACATCTAACAGATGAAATCATCACACCAACGGGGCGGGGAAGGGGCGGCGGCCACGGGGGTTGGGCATGGGGGAGGAGAAAAGCAGGGGGGACAAGGAAGAGAGACCTGGTCCAAGATTCTGTGCACTTTCTGTCCCCACCTTCACCACCTCCCCACCTCTGCACACCACACCCACCACACCGGGCCTGGCCTTGGCCTTCTGTCTGTCTGTCCGTCCCTCCCTCCCTCTGTCCAGCAACTGAGCAGCACCCTCTTGGCTCTCGGTGGCAGGCCAAGGGCGGGGTGGGGGGAGGGTGGGAGGTGCTCCAAGGTCCAATGTAGGAGCCATGGTGCTCTCTTGATCGCAGCTTCTACAGTGGCTTGTCGCTTTCCTTCTTCAGGTGACTAGGGAAGGGGCGGTGCATAGCAGAGAGGTAAGAGACTTGAGACCAACCCTGACCTTGCCCCCTCTTACCCAAGGGGTTGGGAGAGGAGGGGTTCCCTCCCCCAGGAGCACAGTGCCCAGCTGCACCATGCCACAGCCCCTCCCAGGCTCACTGAGCTCCTGTCCCCTGGGCTGGGGCACCCTGGAGTACCTGTAGTAGTCCTCCTGGGCAGGCAGCGGCACACTGTGCAGCGGGTGATGGGCGTGCAGCCACTGCTGCTGTTCCAGCGCCAAGCGCTGCAGCTCAGCTGACTGTGCGTGCATGGCCTGCAGCTGATGAGCTGCTGACATCGGGGCAGAAAGGGAGGCCGGCAGGTCCCGGTAAGGGGCAGCTGTAAGCAGGAAGGGTAAGGGGCACATGACCAATGGATACCAAATACCTGCTCTGGACCAGGGGATAGCCAGGCCCTTTACATACAAAGGTAATGAACTAAAAAGTTAGGTAACACGAGTTCTGTAAGTTGCCAGTGGCAGGGTGGAACTGGGATTCGAACCTCTTAGCCTGACACTAAAATGTGCTTCTCTTGGGCAGAGCTTCAGCTTTCCTAGTCTCATGCCCAGCTCCTCTAGGCACCTCCTCATCCCACCCCAAGCCCAACTAGGCCCATCCCCCCACCCAAAGACCTCCTTTCTATCCTTTTCTCATTAGAGCTTCCCTACCCCAACCTCCATCCTTACCAAAAAGCTGGTGACGAAGAACTTCGTTCTCGTGCAGAGGGTGAGGAAGAAGGGGGTTAGGGAGGGTCCCAGCTGGATAGGGGATCCGGGTAAGGTGAGACCCTGAGGCCAGGGGGTCAATGAGAGGGTGCACCGAGGCAGAGGCTGGAGGGCAGAGAAGAGGAAGGTGTCACCAGAAGGCAGGTTTAGGGAAAACCACGCATTTGGGTGAAGGGATCCAAGCCTGGGAAGTGAGACGGACAAACACAAGGAGCTCCAAAGTGGAACAAGGGCAGAGTGGAAGAACTAGAGGCCTGGGGGTAGGACAGGCTGAGCCCTACTGGAGTAAGGACATATGGATAACAGAGGACAGGAGATTACAGCCACCAGAAGGGTCTGAGGGGAGAGAGAGGAAGAGACAGACTGCTTAAAGGAGGTGGAAAATAGAATTTTAGGAAATAAGACAGGAAGAAGCCAGGTGCAGTGGCTCAGGCCTGTAATCCCAGCACTTTGGGAGGTTGAGGCAGGTGGATCACCTGAGGTCAGGAGTTTGAGACCAGCCTGGCCAACATGTTGAAACCCCGTCTCTACTAAAAATATAAAAAAAATTAGCCAGGTGTGGTGGCACACGCCTGTAATCCCAGATCCTCAAGAGGCTGAAGCAAAAGAATCGCTTGAACCTGGGAGGTGGAAGCTGCAGTGAGTAAGATCATCCCACTGCACTCTAGCCTGGGCAACAGAGTGAGACTCCATCTCAAATTTAAAAAAAAAAAGGAAGAGAGAGATTAAGAGGAGAAAGCACACAAGGGGCCTGGAATAAATATGACTGTAAGGCTAGGGTGACAACCGACTATAAGAAATACGGTGAAAAGACAGTAAGTAAAGCTCATTATCACCAATGACACCCAAACCCAAAGCTACAGGGCCCTTTCCAGAAAGTTACAGACCTAGAGACAGAGAAGAACATGAAAGACCTCCCACTGGGAGGAAAGGAGAGAATGGCAAAAAAAAAAAAAAAAAAAAAATTGAATCCAGAGAAATGAGAAAATAGGTTTGTGGGTCTGGCGTGGTGGCTCACATCTGTAATCCCAGGACTTTGTGAGACTGATGTGGGTAGATCGCTTTGAGCTCAAGAATTTGAGACCAGCCTGGCCAAGATGGCGAAACCCCATCTCTACCAAAAATACAAAAGCCAGCCAGGCTTGGTGGCACACGCCTGTGGTCCCAGCTACTCCAGAGGCTGAGGTAGGAGGATCACTTATGCTTGCAAGTCGAGGCTGCAGTGAGCCGTGATTGTGCCATTGCACTCCAGCCTGGGTGACAGAGTGAGATCATGTCTCAAAAAAAATAATAGGTTTGTGAGGGCTTGCGGTAATGGGGCTGTGAGGATAGAAAGGTGTGTCCTTCAGAGGCTCCCACCTGGGCCTGTCACAGGTAGGATACTAGACTACGGAGAAGACTGGGGCATGGGGAATACAGGCTCTGTGGCTAGGGATGCCACCAGGAGAGAAGGCCGAGAGAATGTCAGGAAGGCAAATATCAGGGCAGCAATCTCAGGAAAGATTCATGCCAGGCTAGGGGAGGGAGGTCTTGGCCAGAAGAACAGAAGAGCCCAGTCATGACAGCAGGGAAGGTGGCCCCACAGGGGAGGGCAAGGAAAGAGGGGTCTCACCTGCATGGATAGCATCTTGCTGGTGCAGGTGCAGGTGCGAGTGGATGTGGGAGTGCTGGTGGTGATGGGGAGTCACATTGAGCATCTGCAGTCGGGCCAGTGGGTCATTGCCCAGGGCCGCCACCCTTTCTGCATGCTGCCTCTCAGCTGCCAGCCGCTCAGCATAGGACATGTCAGGCCGCAGGGCTGGCCCAGCTGCCAGAGCTAGACGTTCTCGCTCCAGGGGCCCCAGGCTCGGATGAAAAGGGAAAGGGTGCAGGCCGGGTGGGCCAGGCTGCAGAGCTAGGCCCCCATGTCGGGGAAAGGGATCCAAGCCTGGCCCAGGGACCCCGTGTAGGGGTTCCAGCTCACTAGGCTTCACCTCGAAGCCAGGCTTGAGACGGTCACGGAGGTCTCGTTCACGGGCTTCCCGTTCCCTCTCCCGGGCAGCTGGATCACTGCTGTACAGGGCCGGGACGTTGTAACCCAGTAGGCCCGGGTCCACTGCCCCTAGGGGCACGTAGAATGGATGGTTGCGATTGCCAGGAGACATGACATGAGGCCGGGCATATTCACTGAGAGTGCGCAGGGCTGGAGTGTCCGGACCCAGGTAGGGGGGCACTGTAGCCACTGCACTGCCCGGTTCAAATGGAGGGCGATGGGGCACTGGGCCCAGAGATGGGCATTCCACCGGAGCACGGCCCTCCTGAGCCAATTTCTGCGGGGTACAGGGAAAAGTGGAATCAAAGCGGCAGTTATGTAAAGAAGTGGCTGGTTTCAAGCTGCCCATTTGTCTGACAGCTGAATGCCAAAATCCCTCACCTCACTAAAACTCTGCCTACCTGGAACTTAACTGCGACCCTCCTCCCGGACATTTGCTCTTCTTGGGACCCACAGGTAGTCCCATCTGTGCATGCCTCCCCCCAACCCAGGAATGTGGAGTGCTCTCGCTGAAATCCCTTTAGGCTCCATTGCCAAGGCTACAGTGGTACCTCCCCTCCGACAGGTGGCGATACAACTCGCCACCCACCCAGCCTCAGCCCCGCTGCGCAGCGCAGCGCAGAGGGAAAGGCGGCGCTGGCGCAGGCCGTGACGTACTCACCACGCTGCGTTCGAGCTCGCGCTCCTTCTCGCGCTCGCGCTCCTTCTCGCGTTCCCGCTCGCGCTCGCGCTCCTTTTCTTCGCGCGCGCGCTGCTCGGCCTCACGCCGCACCTTCTCCACCAGGTCTGCCCGTTTCTTGGCCAGCTTGGAGCCCTCTAGCGGCACGAAGTACAGGTCGCTGCGCGCGCACGAGTTGAAGCCGCGATCCAGGTGTTTGTTGAACCTGCCGGGCGTGGAAGCAGCGCGCGCTCAGCCGGTGCGATGCCCCGTTGAGCCCGCGGCACCCCAGCCCCCGCCAGTGCTTGCAGCCCCCGCCTCAAAACCACCCCAGCAGACTGAGCTGTCGCCCGCCTCACGGGCCGCGTTTTCTAAAACACAACACCAGCGCAAGGCCCCTCCCCGCTACTCCCTCACTGCATTGTCGTCCCCCTTCCAGGCCCACCTCCGCCCCAGCTGGCCGCTTACCTGGCAGACTGACTAGCATGGCTGGGCACATCTACCACCTTGGGAGGGGGCGAGGGGCTGCGGGCTGGGGGCACCGGGCTCTCGGGGGTCTCATACTCTTCAGCCGGCTCCTGTTTGATCTGTGTGGCGCTCAGGGGCGGCCCTGAGGCAGGGGCCGCAGGTGGTGGTGGCAAAGACGGCACGCCTGAGGGGCCCGCAGGTGGCAGGGACCCAGGTCCCACGGTGGGCGAGCCTGGCTTGAAGGTCCCTGGGCCTGCAGGTGGCGAGGTGCCTCTATAGCCCGGCGGGGTCCCCGTTCGGAAGGAGGGAGGCGACCCAGGCTTGTATCCGGGTGGGGTGGTTGTCTTGTAGGTCCCCGGGGATGGGGCTCTCTTTCCGTACGGTGGGGGCCCGGGTGGGGAGGCTGTTTTGTAGCCTGCTGGCGAGGAAGCCACGGTGGCAATGACCGTGGAAAGGGTAGCCGAAGAGGTGGTGACCGTAGGCACCGGTGGGAAGGGGTAGGGCGCCCCCTGAGGGCCCTGGGAAGGGGAGGGGTGTGAACATGGGTAGGACCCTTGAGAAGTGGAAGAGGAAGAGTTGGAAGAGGAAGAGACTGGAGGGCCATTGGGGCCTGCTTGGCTGTAGGACACCTGGCTGTGAGGTGGGGGCAGGTGTGCTGGCCCTGGTGGGTAGGGCCTCAGAGACCCCAGGGAGGGAGACATGGCATAAGCGTGTGTGTGATGGGAGCTACTGCCCTCCAGGGGGTGGGGAAATGCTCCAGGTGGAGGGGGCGCAGAGTTTCCGTGATGCTGCTGCTGTTGCTGCTGCTGTTGCTGCTGGTGGTGATGGTGATGTGTTGAGGCTGGTGGGTGGGCAGTGGACTGGGCCCCAGTAGAGGGAGGGAAGGGGCCTGGATGGGCACTGCTGTTGGCTAAGAGACGGCCATAGGGAGGAGGGGGTGGGGGACCCTGGCTCCACACAGCCTGGGATGGGAGAGAAGGCTGAGTATACTTGGGGGGCTGATTGGAGACAGAGAGGCTTGTTGGGGGAGGGAAAGAGTGGGGGTAACTGGGCAATGCCTGGGAAGCTGGGTATGGGGAGGCAGAGGAAGAGGAGGAAGAACTGGAAGAGGAGGCTGCCGCAGAGCTACTGCTAGAGGACGAATAAGGAAACCTCATAGGGGGTGCTGGGGCAGAAGAAGAGGAAGCAGGGGGCAGAGAGTGGGGTGAAGGAGCCAGAGTTGGGCCCTTCTCTGGGCCAGGAGGAAGTCCACCCATACCCTGCCCCATGGCATGGGGAGAGGGCAGATGCCCAGGTAGTGGTTGGGCTCCCAGGCCAGGGGGAGAGGCTGACGCATTGTTGAGGGGTCTCAGGGCAGGTGGGGGAGGCAGGTTTGGTGTCACATGGGGGAAGTTGGCTGGTGGTGGAGCAGAAGGCAGGTTCCCACCACCCACTGGAGCGTTAGGTGGCTTTGTTGGGGGAGCACCACTAGCCCCAGAGCTTGATACTGAAATGGGAGTAGTGGGTGGGGGGTGCTGCTTACCCCCATTAGGGCCACCCACTGATGAGGCAGTCCCGCCCCCCTTGGGACCCATTGGGGGTCCAGACAAAACTCCTCCACCAGTGCCCCCAGGATAGAGCTGTGGGTGAGGGGGAGGGGCCCCAGGAGGAGCCTGGAACATTCGAGATGTGGGGGGCTCCATGGGAGCATGATATCCAGTGGGTGTCACAGAAGGATGGGGTTCAAAGCCAGCCTCTGGCTGTCGAGGGTTGCTGTCTGGTGGTGGAGGGGAAGGAGGAAAGAGTGGAGGTGGGTGGTAGGGGCGGGCTGGGCCCTGGGACAGGCCAGAAGATGAGTCGGAGTCATTCTCCACACTTCCAGGGCTGTAGATGCTGGGGGACGTGCTTCGGTTGTCCTGGTCAATATCCCTAGGGTCGCTGCTGCCATCATCATTGAGGCTCCGCCCATCCAAGCTATCCAGATCAGAGGGAGACTGTGGCCGAGGGAGGTCCTGCTGCAGAAAAGCGGGGGCTCATTTTTTTCTCTTTCCCTTTCCTGCATCCCTGAGATTTGGGGCCTTTCTTGCATAAAATCACTTCCCCTCACAGCACACTGTTGTACTATGATGTGGTAAGTACTCTTGCTCAAGCCCACCTCTTGCCACCTGGGGATTTCCCACTTTCCCCACATTTTTGACTGCTCCCTAGCAGTCAGTCTTGTTTCCTTCCGGTAAAACCCTATTCCTTCCTCAAGGGTCCATCTCAAGCACCTTGTCTCTACCCACATCGGACTCCAAATCCCTCTTCCACTCTCTCATAACCACCTCTTTAACCAAACATCCTCCATCCTCTGAGCCGTTGGTTCTTAGAAAGACCACTTCTGGTCAGGCAGAGGTTCACACCTGTAATCCCAGTACTTTGGGAGGCCGAGGCAGGCAGATCACTTGAGGCCATGAGTTCCACACCAGCCTGGCCAACATGGCAAAACCTGTATCTACTAAAAATACAAAAATTAGCTGGGCATGGTGGCTTATGCCTATAATCCCAGCTACTCAGGAGGCTGAGGCACAACAATTGCTTGAACCGGGGAGGTAGAGGTTGCAGATCGTGCCACTGTACTCCACCCTGGGCAACAGAGCAAAACTCTGTCTCAAAAACAAAAACCAAAAAAACAACAAAAAAGAAAGATCACTTCTGCATTTTCCTTAAGATTTATTTGTTCCTCCCACTGAGACTTCTCACCCAGAGGCTAGAATCCCCCAACTCTTCTGGTCCCCTTTGGCCCTGCCTGGTCATCTGGTGGTCTGTCAAAGCTCTAAGGATCTGTCTGGCATATTATAGATAGAACTGCTCTAATAAGCACTAGGATCTGGCCTTTCTTATATCCCAGGAGAGATCAAGGTAGGAACAGTGAACATAAGGAGGTCTCAGAACAGAACGGTCACAAGATGAGTGCAAATGGCTGCAAGAGTGTCCCACCTCAGTTTTGGTCTTT